AGAACAGATGTCATGCATGCATTTTCCTCATCCACAGTCTGTGTGAAAGGTCTGGTCGGGTCAGGTAGTCCCAGTGTTGGTGTGGTCTGCAAAGCTAACTTCAAATCAGTGAAAGCTTTTTCAGCATCAGGAGTCCATGTCACTTTATCATAAGATTGAAGGCCTTTACCATGGATCAGTGCACTGAGTGGGGTCTCCAGAACAGCATAATTTGGGATAACAGCATAATTCCTACAGTAGGAACACATGCCCAGAAAGGACATCATTTGCTTTTTTTGTGAGGGGTTTTGGCAGCTGTTGAATATCCTCAATTCTCTGTGATTAAATGACCCAGAAATGTAACTTTAGGTTGCACAAACTGCAACTTAGAAAGGCTAACTTTATGTCCCTCTTCAGCCAGGTGCTGCAAAGGTTTAACTGTGACTTTCTCACATTGCTCTTGAGTGGGACTGCAAACCATGAGGTCATCAACATACTGCAATAAAGCAATGCCTTCAGAGAGGACAAGTGCTTCCAGGCTACACCTGAGAGCCTCATTATAAATAGTTGGACTTTTAGAAAATCCTTGGGACAGCCTTGTAAATGTGAAACCACGCCCATTGAAATTGAACGCAAACCAAAACTGACTGTCTGGATGAACAGGCACACTGAAAAAGGCGTTGGCCAAATCAACAACAGAGAAAAATGTTGCATCAGAGGGAACTTGGGATAAAATCATGTATGGATTAGCCACATTGGATGCACGACATTGTACAGCAGCGTTAACAGCTTGTAGATCCTGCACAAAACGCCATTCTGTAGGCTGACCCTTGTCACGAATCTTTTTCACTGGGAATGATAATCCCTGCCTCCTTAAGAGACTCAAAAACAGGTGTAATGCCATCGATGGCTTCCTTCTTTAGTGGATACTGCCACTTTACAGGGCCTGTAATCAGATTTAGGTGTAATGATAGGTGTAAAGGTGTAAAGGATTAGGTGTAGCATGTACTAGGTATAAGCAAATTGATATTGGATTAGCATTTGATGGATATGTGTAAAATTATGTGTGTTGATATATCAACTGTCTTTACATGCTTGAAAGAATAAATAAATCAAATCAATCAATCAAATCCTTCTGCGTGAAACTCGGAGATGCTGTATTTTCCTCTGAGCCCCTTTTGTATGGGGTACCAGAAAGCTCAGTCCTTGGACCCCTTCTTTTTTCCCCCTTTACCTTCTTCCACTTGGTTCTATACTCAGGAATCACGGTGTTTCCTTTCATTTTTATGCGGATGACTGCCAGCTTTACCTACCAGTTAATAAGGTGAGCTCTTCTGTTAGCACACTTCTTGAATGTCTCAATGACATTAAATCTTGGCTCGCTTTTAACTTTTTAAAGCTGAATGACGATAAGACTGAGGTGATAGTATTTGGTGATTTTGTTGGTTCCCCATCTATTGACTTGGGCTCATTGGCTCAATATAATAAAAAGAATATTTTAAATTTAGGTATTAAGATGGACTCCGATTTAAGATTCGACAGCCAAATTGCAGCTGTCATTAAATCTAGTTTCTTTCAACTAAGACAGTTGGCTAAAGTAAAAGCATTTGTCTTTAGACAGCATTTTGAGATGCTTATTCATGCTTTTATGACCTCTCGTTTGGACTATTGTAATTCGTTGTATCTTGGGGTCAGCGAGTCTTCTATCACTCGCCTCCAGATGGTCCAAAATGCAGCAGCACGTCTTTTAACAGGTACAAGGATATATGAGCATATCTCTCCAGTTTTGGCCTCCCTACATTGGTTACCTGTTCATTTTCAGGTCCATTACAAAATTTTACTCTTTGTTTTTAAATCCCTTTTAAGGCTCTGCACCATCCTACTTATCTGATTTGCTTCATTGTCATACACCCACACGCTCTCTGAGGTCAGCCAATCACAGCCAATCAGCTTCTCTTGAGTATCCAAACCCACAGCCACAGCCGTGTCCCCACCCCCATTTCCTGGAACGGAAATGTAGAACTGATAACTAGCCTGGAGCTAGAACATCCCGACTCTCCACTCATTGTTCTAGGGGACTTTAACAGAGCAAATCTCACCCACGAACTGCCCCTTCTCTGGAAGTTTCTCTGTTCCCCCGGATGTTGCTCGTGTTGTTCTAGGATGGCTTGGTACATGGTCATAGCTGTGAGGTGTAGCTCTTTTTTGGCCTTATCTTCTTTGCCCTGCTTTTTCTGCTGCAGCTGATCTTGGGCATGACTGGCGTGACGTCGTAGTTCACTCAGACGAATGTTTGTGTAGCCGACACAGGATGTCTTCGTTGCTGCTGCAATATCAGGTCTCAGTCCATTCAGAAAGCAGTTGCTAAGATGTGTTTCCCACATACCAGGAGCATTTCCCAAATCAGCTGGTTGTTCCAGGCCACTATGAATGTTAAACAGCTCTGTGAGGCGGTGTAAATACTCCTCTGTCGATTCTCCCTCCTGTTGTCTGCAAGATGTAATTTTGCTAATGTCCACTTTAGTGGGGAACCGGTCACGAAACACAACTCCCAGGGCTGTAATAGCGTCTCTCTATGGACCGTTATCAGCGTGATTCCAGTCAGTGTCATTTACTGGGAAACGACTAGTCACATGCTGGAGATCTGCAGGTTTCATCTTTGTTGCTAAAAGACGTTTCAGTTCAGTCATGATGGGATGAAATTCAGTGCAGAAAATGGAGAGCTGTTCTGCAAATTTCTGTCCAGATGCTGTGCTGCAGCAGTAATATCAGCAGTGGTCCATGTTCAAAACACAAGGATGGGACCAGTAGGGCCAGACACTTCAACCATGGGTAATGATAGTTCAGCATTGGAAGACGGGCCAGTGGCTGCACTCATGCCATACACAGTTCCACTGTGCGTTGTCTGCGGTGACAGGAGGCCCAGAGGGATCAGCAGGTCAGGATCTGAGAGTAGAGAGGCGTCGCATGGCACCTTTTTACACTGATTGCACTGTGATGTTCAGCTAGCAAAGGAATTCTTGTTTCATAACGGTGGTTTTGTCAGTGTGGAACTGTCCACAACAAGTACTGTACTTATTTTTATACATTTCATTAAAGAATTTATGTGCCATGTCTTTGTCATTGGTCTTGCCTGTAATGTAAACAACGTTAAATATATATAAAAATATGTTTTTTCTCATTAAACCTGAATATCTACTTAAAGGCAGAGTTCAGGGGAATGATGAGACCAAGTAAATATTAAATTATATGATTGGAATTGTATGAATTTATTTGGTTTGCAACAATTTTCTTTCAGAACAACAGTTGAACAAGTGGTTGATACAAATTCTAACCTATCAACTAATGAGTACATTACAGTAAATAAACAAAATATAGCTAGAAAGTAAAAAAAAAAGCATCTAGTACATATGATATCACATCACTGACAAAACAGCAACACCAGTGATGCAGTACAACAATGAACAGACACATCTCTAGTGTATCTAGTGCTACCAAGGAGAGGAGTAAAACCAGTGTCAGGGTGGAGAAACAAAAACTACAGTTAACAAAAGGTCTGCCATGTGTCAGACCATGTCTGCAGTCAAATCAAAATCATTTAATTGCTCAGTGTAATCAGTTTTAATGTTCAGTCTTAAAAGCTTTGCATGAAATTGTAAAATAAATCATGACTTTTAAAAAAGACGTCGACATCCCATACATTTGCTCCAGTGACCTCTTGATCCAGGAAGAACTTTAAAAAGTGAGTTCATTATTTCACAGTTAGTGTTTTGTGTGGCATAACACAAGAGATGTATTTTAGGGTCACCAATATTTATTTGATATTATGAATAATAGCATTTTAATACAATTTTATTTAATATATGTAACATTGTCTATGTGAATGAGATCTAATTCATGAAAAATATATTTTTTAATGCAGTCTATGGCTCCACTTCTGTGTATGAATAAAGTGACAAGACAGTCCCTTGAACTTGGCATTTAAAGTGGCGGTGTGTAACTTGGCAGCTGGTCTCCCCCTACAGTTGCTGAGCGTAATTGAGTTGTACCCAAGAGGCGTAAATACTGGTTGCCCTTTCACCACCTCCTCGTTTATAAGATGACACTGTTACTGAGCCATGAAAGAAAACAAAAGAATGAATGTTAAAGCAATATTACAAGATTTGATACAAGTATGACTGCATTGTTTTATTCATTGTTACATCAAAGATGAACAGTCCTAACAAAAACAGAATAAGAAATAACGGCTGGTTTTGATGCCAGTGGATCAGCGTCATGCTCCCCTGCAACTACAGACACATTTTCCATCACAGTGCTCTAAATGATTATCAAAATGCTAATTTATTGAAAGCACGCGACAAGACTGATCTTGGTTGTACCTTCATTTATGCACACACAAACACACGTGAACTGTGAAAGTTTGTGTGTCCATCAGGTCAGGATCAGTGCGGGTCCTCTTTCTGAGTCAGAGATTAGTGAACAAATAGACAATGTGGAAAACTATTTTGATAGCTCATTTTATGACTGACCTTTATATGTTAACGAGTTTTATTGTTTGGGATTAAATGGGACACATACTTTGACCTGCACAGAAAGATGGTGTTCTTGAGGGTATTCATTTGGGGATATCCAAAGTAATCCTGCTGCCGATTTTAATTTCTTTTTTTTGCTGGATGGAGTTTAGTGATTTCAGCCTCCTCCTCTCTGCCATTTGTCTGCTGCGTGTGTGCGTGTGGTGCCCGTTGCGTTGTCTGACGGGCAGTTGGTGAGCACATATTGCATTTTTTTCCTTCAATATCAGTAATAACCAAACATGCGTGATATGACAACCATCGGTTTTCATACCCAGTTATACCATGCAATCAATACACCGCTGCAACCCTTGTCAGTACATTGTGGATATTGTTAATCATTTGTACAGGATGTGTTTTGCCTTCCTACTGAGCATGGCAGACACCGGCTGGCATCATGTATCACTTGAGTGATGTATGCTGTTGTGTTTGTTTTGTATTTTTGTGCAGGTGTGGCAGTGCTCCCCTGGATCACATCTCTCTAAACCGTCTATCGAACATGAGGAAGAGATACAGGTACAGCAGCATGGTTGTGGTTCACTATATTTATTTGTTCCCATCAGTGCTCAGAGCTGCCCCCCACTTTAAATTATAAGTGTGCTCACAGATATTAATCTTTACAGTCGGTATGAAGTACTTTAGGTGCTTTTCTTTTGCCTTGGTTTTTCCCTCTCAGGTGCCAACAGCCGGCCATATTTTGGATCCACTAATCTCACTCACTGGTTTTTTAATGTACTGATAAAATGCTCCTGGTCCTTACAAACAGAGAACCCAGGGAACTCAGTCAGTTGCACCAGTACGCAAAAGAATTTTTTCCACTTGCACACTCCACTCACATACACACCAATTATCTATAATTCACAAAGACAATAAATTAATGTAAAAATCCTCAAAATTTTGTGAATGAGCCCATTTGTAAATATAATTCTTCTCATGTCAGATCAGTCTTTATAGACAACAACCTAAAAGTTAGAAAGATGTTTACAAATTTAAGTGGATTTATGTTGACACACATTAATTTACCCTTCCGGCGGCGACAGCGATGGCGGCCGTGGTTACTTGCGCTCTCTTGTGTTTGTTTTTCTTTGTTTTCTTGGTCTTTTGCAACTCATCCTGGATTACTTTTACCAGAGAACAACTGTTAAATATCGGACAACTCACAGCAAACTGCCTTCCTCCGATTTTTGTGAACGAAGAATGCTGTATGGACATTCTGATCGGAGGCGCAGCAGCAATATACGGGATCTGGAAAAAATGTCGGCGACGTGCTGCTTTGTGCTTCACGGAGACCTGGCTCAGCGACTCCATTGCAGACAGCCTGATTCAAGTACCGGGCTTCCAGGTGTACAGAGCGGATCGTGTAAACGAGCTGTCCGGGAAAACGAGAGGAGGTGGAATCTGCTTCTACATAAATGAAGGTTGGTGCACAGATGTCACAGTGCTACAGAGGACATGTACCGCAGACCTAGAGACTCTTGTTATCAATTGCAAACCCTTTTACTCTCCCCGTGAATTCAACAGTTTTATGATAATGGGAGTGTACATAACACCGCAGGCTAATGCTGGCACGCTATGGCTCCTAGCAGAACTGATAACTAGCCTGGAGCTAGAACATCCCGACTCTCCACTCATTGTTCTAGGGGACTTTAACAGAGCAAATCTCACCCACGAACTGCCCAAATACAGGCAGCACGTCACCTGTCCCACCAGGGACAAAATCACACTGAACCACTGCTACACAACAATAAAAGACGCCTATCAATCTGTCCCCCGCGCAGTCCTCGGACTCTCAGATCACTGTATGGTCCATCTTATTCCAACCTACAGGCAGAAACTTAAAGCTGCGAAGCCTGTAGTCAAAACAGTGAAGAGCGGGACTAAGGAGGCTAAGTCAGAGCTACAGGCCTGCTTTGACTGCACAGACTGGAGTGTATTTGAGACTGCAGCTACAGACCTGGATGAACTCACTGACACTGTGACATCTTATATCAGCTTTTGTAAGGATATGTGTGTGTGCCCAAAAGTCCTTCTATACATTTAACAACAACAAGCCCTGGTTTACAGCCAGACTGAAGCAGCTTCGTCGTGCCAAAGAGGAGGATTACAGAAGTGGGGACAGGACTCTGTACAGCCAGGCCAGGAACATACTGAGAAGGGAGATCAGAGCAGCAAAGAGGAGCTATTCTGAAAAGCTGAAAGCTCAGGTTTCAGCCAACGGCCCCTCGTCTGTGTGGGGGAGCCTGAAAACCATCACTGGCTATAGAAAACCATCTCCCCCTGCTGTGTAGGACCGTCAACTAGCAGACGACCTGAATGTGTTCTACTGCAGGTTCGACAATCAACACTCCCCCTCACCCTCCCCCCCTC